AAGTTGGTTTTAATAAAAGCAGTTTTTTTCTGGAGGTAATATTTGTCCTCGGGGGAGGGGGGGGGGGGGGGTAAGGGTAATTTTATGGGGGTAGGAATGGGATCAGAATTGATCACGTTTAAATCACATAACATTTGTAACATTTTATGTTATACTCATGTTTAATTATATTTTTCTCGACCTCTGGGATAAACAGAGCCATTATTATTATATTTAGGCTCTAAATAGAGCAATCCGATCGTCTTTTGGACTGTGATTTGTAATATGTTTATGAACCATTGTACATTATGTTTAGGAACATAATAACTTTTTAGAAACAATAATACCAACCAACCGACCAACCAGCGCCAACCTATGTTTGTGGAACCAAGTCGATGCCATGTTTTCTATTTTTGTTCTTTCCATGACCCATCCTAGTTCTTGCGCCTGAAATGTTCAGACGGGTCGAGTGGTATAGATTTAAACTTTGCCCCAGACTATTGATAATTCATGCCATCTGTGGCATTTCCAATGATTGTGTTTTGGCAAATACTATGAGGAGGTTCTATACAAATGTCATTGACAGCAAGCGTGGATTACTTTTGTCCCGACAACATAAATTGTCAACAAAATCCTGATCCTGATAGTTCACCTTGAAAAGTAAACAAAAGTCTCGACACAGAGATACAGAATATCTCAAGTTGTTTTTAGCTCATGCAATCTAAGGTATTTTCAATGACTTCTGTTCCATCCATAATCAGCAGAGGCGGCGCCCCTCCCCCTTTACAGATACCAATAAGTGCCCCTTTCTTCATAGAAAAATTGCCCATGTTACTTTGAAAAATTTCATCTGTGATAACACTTATTTTGACAATTGTCACTTTTATTTCCGATTAATGCCCCTTTCCCTTCTGATAAGCGCCCCGTCCTCATAAAAGCCCCCTTTTCACCCCAGATAAATACCCCTATCACAATCTTTTTCCTTTATAATAAGTGCCTTTTTCCATCCTCATAAATGTCTCTTTTCCCTTCTGGTAAGTGCCTTTTTTCAGGTTCGAGAAACGTCCCTTTTCACTTCTGATAATTGCCCTTTTTACTTTGACACGTGCCCCTTTTCCTTTATAATAAGTGTAAGTTTTTCCTTCTAGTAAGTGCCCCTTCAACTATTTTATATTAGCCCCTTTCCCTTTTCATAAATGCCTTCTTCACCTCTTATATATTTAAAGCGATTTTTCTACAATTTCCCCCGAAGCTCACTCGCATTCATAGTTGATATGATTATGTTACTTATAAAAGGTCTTTTCAAAAGGCTATTCCTGCCACCTCGATCCATAAGCTCAACTATACAGCCTCTCAGTGCATGATATAGGCCCTATTTGTTTATTGATATTGTGTCACCTAAAAATGGCGAGAGGTGTGCCGCTCACATTATTTTTACATGCAGGCCAATAACTTGCCTTCTACCAAATTACCAATTTGTAGGTGTGAAAAGGTTTTTTGTATTCCAGCCATTATTTTTTAAGATATGTTAAGTCAAAGGAGGAGGGATTTCATGCGTACTTATACAAAATAAAATGACCCAGTTTGTTATGGCCTTAACTTCGGAGAGCAGCACTAATACTCGAACCGCGAGCGGACGAATCGAGCGAGAAAAAACAACTTTGGGAGAATCGCTACATAGCTATAATATTGGCGTCTCCAAAAAAAATTGTCAAGAAGTAGAATCTTCCTTATAACGGGGAAAGGGGTTTAATGTACCATGGGCATGACATTGATTTATCTATCTTTTCATTATTTATTTCTTTGTCTTGTCGGTCCATGAAATGTAGGTCTACTGGGATGAACTTATTTTGGCAACATTCTTTGCAAGATGTACTGATTCCCTGTACGTCTACAAACGCCTGCTTCATTATAATAATGCTATCAATGACTATGTAAATCCATTTAAATTATTATCCATTTGATGTTGAATATTTTCCAGGTTCAACAAATGAAATAGGGTCCCGGGGAGGTTGAATACGGAACACAGGACAAACAAACAAATCATTGAAAAGCGGGATTTCTATATATAGGTAACCTTGCAGGTCCACATTATGTGAACATTGCCACACAATACCTGCTAACATAACAAGTCAGAGAGTAAGTACCATTCAAACGAAATGAGCCATGAATATCTCACCTACTTTTATACGAGTTCATGTCGTTCTTCATTGATTTCATGCGATCTGTACTTCATGAATGACGCCCATGTTTTAGTGATTTCATTATGTTCAAGAGGACAGAGGGAATGTCTGACATTCCCAGTTATTATTTTTCTCCAAACATAGTTTATTTAAAAAGAGAGGAAAACATACAGATTTTATTTGAATGAATCAATGGTTCATTTCTATTATGATTCTAGCAGTGTTGTTCAAGTCTATAATAATAATAATAATAATAATAATAATAATAATAATAGCCTAATAGTCCACTCCAAATTTTATTAAACCGAAACGGAAATTCTTTTTGCCCAATTGATCGTGAGCCCGGCAGCCACTGAGCAGCGCCAGATCGACGTTGCTCTATCCCTTATTGTTGAACGCCAAACAAGGTAGCAACAACTCCCATCTGTTAACGTCTTTTGGTATGACGCGGCCGGGGTTCGAACCCACGACCTCCCGGTTGTGAGGCGGACGCTCTACTGACTGAGCCAACACTCCGGTATATGGATGTGAAATGATTAATTTTCTTTTGTTACCAATCTCAGTCACATAGTACGGATCTAGTGTTATGCCACGAACAACATATTCATAGGGGACAAGGTTTTTGAGACGCGGAATGCTGAAAAAAGGTCGTTGGGTATCAATGTGTTCAGAGCACCCCCCCCCCCCCCTGCATAATTTCTGCAAAGTTTCTAGGTGGACTTCCTTGAAATTATGCTGCAGGAAAACACTGGCGGCCATGTATAACTACTTTTGAACGATTTGGCAGATTACTCTTTGAGGGAACTTCATTTTACCATGCGTGAGGTGTCATAATTATGAAAAGGAATTAAATTGCCTATAAGATGATATCGCATTAGGTGCTATGATAATTCGCATAACAATTTTGAGCCCAAATTTGTGACAATTTTTTCCGAAAATGCATATCTCTCCATATTTTAATAAATTATAAAACTTAGCATTTTTTGAAAAACTGTCCATAACAATGGTTAATATTATATCTAAATTCCATAGAATAAAGCCTATATAAGTTCATGATTTTGTTAGCAAGTGTCCGACTCTTGTCACGGTTTGTGAAAGTTTAGTCATTAAAACAAAAAGGGTAGTCTCTAGATAAAGAACTTTTATTCTCTATGGCATGACGTTATATTCAATTAGAATCCTATAGACATGGTGTTTTCGTATTGAATGACAATGCAGGTTAGGGGTCCTTATACGGCTATATTAATGCAACTTCGTTGTGTAAAGATTTAACACAACATTGGGTGGTTCACTCCTTACACAGGGGTTGTGTTAAGTTGTGGACAAAAAATTACACAACTTTACACTGCAAATTCGTTGTGTAAAGTTGTGTAATTTTTGTATAGACAATTTTGCACGAATTTGCAGTATACTTCTTACTTCTGTACCTTTGGGTGTTCTAAGTATTTGAAGTGGGGGCGCCCCTGTGAAATCCCTAGATTGCCGAATTGACATGATGGCATTGATATTTAAGAGCAGTTGTCGCATACATCGCCCTGGTAAAACATATATTATTTCATTTTGTCATAATTATGTCGATATAGGTCATAGATTGTGAATTATAATTCTTTACTTTCATGTGAAAGGAAATGCGAAAAAAATAGCTTTTTGGAGCCAGAAGGGCGTGAACATTACTAATAAAAAGTAATAAACATGTACCTTCACATAGAGTTAGCGAGTTTTAAAAACACCTATCATATAGGCTGTTCTTTATTACATCATCATCAGTATACTTTTATGATGATGATGGTGATGTATATTATGTATAGATTGCACGCGTGCATGGCATGCGATAACAGCTTTATTTCTATCACTGTCTGTCAGTAATTTTTGTTCTCCCCCCCCCCTTCCATTTCCAAAAGTTGTATTGGAACAATACATATAACTTGAATGGGTTGAGATTATATGTTGACAGTATCAAAATATGCATTTAGCGATGATGTATCCACCTATTTCAAACTTTAAAAAAATCTTTCATAAAGATATGAACTACACGCAAAAGGAAGAAGAAATTGTTTCCGAATTTTCATTACTATATATACCTTTACTCAATTGTTTGAAGGAAATAATTTGTAACAAAGCATATAAATATTTTCATTTAAAAGTGATTGTTACTGCATTATGAACTAGGATCATCTATAACTTATTTCCACAACAAAATAGTATACGGTATAGCAAGGCTTATACTTCGAGCATGAAAACCTAACTGCAATTAATTTTTGCTTGTTATAAATAAGTCTATAAAATGAAAGCAGTATATTACTGAAGACCATCTATTCCGTTTCCCAATGAACCATCAAAATAAATCAAAATATAAAGTGAGCGATTAAAAAATCTTGACCGTACTGTCTCTTGTGAATCAACAGATTTCTTTTTCAAATGAAGAAGAAGATCATGTTGTCATGGTGACTTGACCTTTGAACTGTCTGTGGTAAAGGATTTCCTGGGCAATATTGAATAACACATGTTTTTAAATCCATGCTCCTAATTTTATGAGACAACTGGGATCAAGGCTCAGAAAAAATAAAATCATGGTATAATTATAAGATAATCTTCCTTGTTCAGGAAACAAAATATATATGTTTGCTTTTATCAGCATAAGTCTACCTTTTCTAAGATAATAGAATAATCATGAGTTTTATCAGTAAAACGAAATGTTCCAAAGTCTTTGTTTTCGGACTAGACTCGGCTGCAAATACGGGGATTCCCCGCTGAACTTTGGAGCCCATCGGCACATACCATGTTACCGTTACATTCGCTTTTCACATTACTCGAACTCATACATTATTATATCACGCGCTGTAACATAGTCGAATGTTCCTTCAGTAGTGGTATCGTTCGAAACGTGAGACAATTCGTAAGTATAATATGTGTTGTATTTCCTCTTTTTTTTTCTTCAATAATGAAATGTGAAAATGATGATGATGATGATGATGACGATGATGATGATGATGATGATGATAATGATGATGATGATGAAGAAGAATATGGCGACAGGGATGATGATGATAATAATGAGATCGTTCATAAAGCGACACCATTATATCATTGGCGTCAGATAACTAAAGAAAGATGTCTTTCCGTTCCACGATTTTGTTGTTATTGTTTATTTTCATTTAGTACGTAGATTCGTATTTGCAATTTCAAAACCAAATACCTATATGGTAGATTTTTGTCAATGCAAAATATAGAAAGACTCTGAACCCCAAAAAACTCCATCGCTCACTCTAATTTCAAAACAATGTATGTTGTTGTAAGTATAACATTGTATTGTATAGAGAGAGAGAGCAAACAACAAGCAAATCATTTGAAATTAAAGATAAACTTGAGTTCTGGTAAAATAAAGAAAATGAATTCTCACAGAATCAAACGAAACTTACACTGAATGTTCAAATAAATGTCATGTGCCAAACAATTTTGGAAAAAATGTATACTGGCTGAGTAATGAGCATAGAAAGATAAGGGAATCAAGGTGAGCTAGCTCCGACACAATTTGTGTAGTCCCATATACATCTTTCTGTGTACAGTGCTGTATACTTTACCAAGACTGGGCCAAATTTATTATGATTTTGATAACTCCACAACCTTGCAGTGCACATCAATACTTACATGCTACATGATGAACTTGTTCTGATCTATTCCACACCTTTTATTTCACAATGCAATCGCATTACCAGAACTCACCTTTATCTTTAATCATTCCATCACAATCATGTAATGGACTATGCTTCATACCCTCAAAATAATGTTCATTGTAACTTATGCAAAAAATATATGTGGCATGCAGACTCCTCTTTAACTCCACTAAATTTTCTCGGGTTTAATTTGCGATTTGCATTGGCTTCCTATGTAAGAAAACAAACTAACAAGTTACTATTCTTCCGACATTCCAAGGATCTTCACTGTGTATGTTGTACAGAAATTGCGCATTATTGTTATTATGATATAAGGCCTAAAGCTTATTGCAAATGTGCATATCATTATTTTGGTTTTCAATAGCATCATCATTAGCTTTATTACTATCACTGCAGTATCATCAGCATCATCATCATCATCATTAGTATCATTATTATAAGTATCACTATCATCAACATCCTGATTAAAAACTTTGCAATCATTCGTCATTGCTACATGATTATCATTAAATTACATGGATAAGTTTGAGTCATCTCAATAAAGCAAGTAGTCTTTTAATTCATTGATTCAAATACGTAATTACCTACCAATACCATTCATCTTGGCTGCAAAGGAGCTGTGTAACAAAATGCAATAAGATGAAATAATTATATAGGCCTTATTTTGTGAGGATACTGCCTATACAGCCCAAATTTTAAGAAATCTTCATTGGTTAGCAGTACTCCAGAGAATAACAATCAAAATCTTGCTGATTGTATATAAAGCACATCTTGGTCAAGCTCCCTAATATTATCATACTTGTACTGTTGAATTTCAAACTTAATCAACACAATCGCAACTTGCGCAGTTCCCGAAATACATTGTTTCTGCAGATCCCATTTATCAAAACAAAAATAACGCTAGGTGATCGAGCATTTGCTTGTGCAGCCCCAAACTATGGAATAAATTACCATTTGAAGTCAGGAAATCACCATCTGTGAATATCTTTAAATAAAAACTGAAAACACATCTTTTTCAATGAACTGTAAATCTAAGCATATCAGGGGCTCTTGTAGCGCATACCTAATGCTGGATAGTTTCTGAGCTCCATAAATGTATTATTGTTAGGGAAGTAAAAATTGATGTACATTATTTTTGATCAGTTCAACGATTTCAAATTCTTCGATCTCATCATTTCAGGCCTTGTGCTGTTTGTAGGTACACCGGAGATTATCCGCCATGGCCATCACTATTGGTGTGTGTACATCTGCTTTCGAGAGAAACATCGGAGGACTCTTGTCCAAGTTGAGGTCGACTCTGCCAATGATCAACTTCCGAATGGTCCCTTTACCTTACAACGATCTCGATAGTTATCCATTGGAGCAAGAACGACTTGATGGACTGATCCTTTGTCACTCTATCCAGAACAGACGCTTTGCCATTACTGATGTCTTGGATGCAATATACAATCAGTTCTTGCCCAGAGCTAAGAAACATCTTGGTAAACAATCATCGTCTTTTTTTAAATCCTCTTTTCACTCTTATGTTTATCAATTCATTTTACAAAAATATATTTTTTATCTAAAAAAATTCATCGGAATCACTGAATAATATTGTTGTTGGAGTGCCCAAGAGACACATGAAGGTTTTACTTAACCCAGTATGGACCTAAATGCTTAACCCGTCTTGCCTTGGAAAATCCTTCCATGCTGTAGTGACTGACACTGCCCCATCTCTCTCTCTCTCTCTCTCTTTCTCTCTTTCTCTCTTTCTCTCTTTCTCTCTTTCTCTCTTCTCTTTTTTTCTTGTATTTCATGTTCATAACCCCCTTTGCTCTTTTCTGCAAATCAGAGAAGTCGGTAATATTGGTCCCCTTTTTGTTGCTTGTTGCAATTATTTTCTGTCCTACTTTCTTGTCTATTTATACCACTTTCGCAAATTTGAAAGTAACTACTAGTTTTGTACCCTTATCAAACCAAATTATTATCCCTTTTATGTTTGTTGCAAAAATTCACCTTTCGACGAACTGCAAATTTGATTGTATACCCCCCCCCCCCCCCCCACTTCTCATTTTAAAGTGTTCTGACGGCACCTCTGATGAACCTTACAAAGCTCTCTTCTGTCTTCATGTTTCCTCTTGCGTTTTAGGGAAGGAGAATGTAGTCGTGATCGCTCATGACTTTCCTTGGCCATTAATTATTAAGAAGAATGCTACTATGGAGACCTTCCGGACGAACCAGCCAACGGCTGTGAAATGCTCCTCACTCGTACTTCTCAGTGGAAGCTTGGACAACACCGTGCAGATGGATAGCGACGATTGGAACCAACTTACGGCGTTCGCAAGAGAAGTCAAACCTCTGGAGTCATCCCCTATGAAATCAGCCTTCCATGTTGTCATTAATTGGTTCCAATCCGCAATGAGTCTCGTCATTTTCGTCATCATGTGCATCTTCATGCCTATTCTGGTGATTGTAAGCAGTATCGGTTTGTTTCCATTAATAATAATAGTGGCTGTATTTTTGTCATACTGGTTCTGGAAAATCAAAAACAAGCAACACAATATTGGAATCAGAGAGGGCGATGGGAGCCTGCATGATGTCAAGAGTCATGGGCCCACTCTTGAAGTGAGAAAGAAAGGATATAGGAAATAGGAGAGGGGAAAGAAATTTGAAATTTATCAGTTAACAATAGGGACTTTTAGATTTGCACGTCAACATAGTGGACACATGATTTCTAAACTTCGAAGTGGATCAGGGTTATGATTATTTGAGAAATCAAAAGGTGTATTCTACTCTAAGGAGGGACACTTTTTGCAACACAATTTTTGGAAATTAAAGAGGAACCCGCATTCGTTGTAAGTCGGCTTGGCTTAGAGCAGAAAAAAAAGAGAGAATCGTTGGTTAAAGTTTCAAATAAAATCGGACAAAGAACAGGAAAGTTGTCATTATTTAAATCATTTGTTTTCTTCAACATTACACAAAGTGTTCCTTTGCTCAATTGTGAACTTGTTCATAGTTTTCTCAAAATCCCTTCCAAGTAGGGGCGGCGGAGCGTCTTTCAAAGTGTGGGAGGGGGGTGAAGGTACGAACAAAATAGGGCACTTTCTGAAGACAATTTTTAGAGATTTGTGAGGTCGTAGTGCGACAATAATCATAATAGAGGAAAAATACAATCATGATGGGGTTTTAAGCCCAATTCATGAGAGAGTGAAAAGACCTTTCATAAGAAACAAAATTGTATCAACTTTAAATGCGAGCGAGCTTTGGGTGAAAAAGGTACCCTTAGTCGCTTTCAATTTCATGGTAAATGGAAAAAAGGGCATTTTATCCAAAGGGAAAAGGACACTTATTAGAAAAGAAAAAAAATCATTTCAAAATAAAAAGGAGAATTATCTGAGGTGAAAGTGGGGCACTTCTTGCACAAGATCAGATGTACTCGCCAGAGATGAAAAAAGACAATAATGAGAAAGTAATAGGGACACTTATTACAAAGGAAAAGGGGGCAGGTGTCAAAATAAAAGGAGCACTTGTCATATATAAAAAGAGGCACTTGCCAAAATATAAGGGGCAGCTCTCAGATTTGATAAAAAGGCAATTGTAAGAGATGAAGGGGCACTTATCAGAGGTGGTTAAGGGCACTTCTTGTATCTGAAAAGTGACACTCACCTGAGATGGATAGGGACACTTGTGAGAACGGAAAGGGGAACTTATCACAATGGAGAATGGGCACTTGTCAAAGGAAAGGGGCACTTTTGAGGTTTTAAAGGGCAAGTCTACTCCAAAAATAACTTTCAATAGAAGCAGGAAAATCAGCCAAACCGATCCAAATAAGTTTGAGCAAAATCGGATATCTAAGAAGAAAATTAAGAATTTTTAACGACATAAAACAACTTTGAAAATCACAAGACAAATTGGCAACTTACTCATGAGTCTGTGACGTCATTGCCTCTTATATTGATAATATAAATTTCCAATTTCTCCCCTAAGAATCTTTTTTCCTCACACCAGCATCCAAGTTATATGGATACTTATATTTTGTTGTGTGGATGCACTAATATGGATTTTAAAAATTCAGTTAAATCATGAAAAATGTGAATTTTGATAAACTATTTATCAATGATGATGAATATACAGTATTCAGAAAATAGTGTAAATTCTTCAAAGTTCATAAAAGATTTTGAAAAATGCACGCAATATGATACAAATCATATAGCCTGGGCAAAGGCATGGGGAAATCAAATTTTGGGGGATAAAAATATATAAAGCAATTGATAAAATAATAGTGAGGCAATGACGTCACAAACTGATAACCAAATAGACAATATGTGTAGTGTTTTCTAAGTTCCATAATTACTTCCTAATTAGTTATCCGATTTTACTCAATTTTTGTTTGCTCTGTTTCTCTTATATTTCTGCATCTATCAAAAGCAAATTTCTGGAGTGGACTAATAAGCCTTTAATAGAGACATTTTATCAAAGATGTGGGAAGAGGCTTTAATGAGAAGGGGAAGGGGCTCTTATTTTAAAAAGGGGGTATTCATCAGAAGGAAAAAAGGCACTTATTAGAAAGGAAAAAGGTGGCATAGTGTCAGTATAAACGGAGGCACTCATAGAGAAAAGGGGCACTCATCAGAGATGAAAAAGGGAGCTTGTTACAAAGGAAAATGGCACTGTTAATCGTTTAAAAATGATAAATCTGAGATTCATGGCCCTACGTGTTATCAATGTCTGTGATATGGTGTAATATTGAAGCCCTAAAAAAAAATCGCGCGTCAAAATGATTACGAAATGCCTCAAAAAGTAAAAATCTTTAAGTGACCGCGGTTACCATACTCGTTCTCCCCCAATAGACTGTAGTGTTATGAAAACAGTTAGTAAAACGCAAAATTTGATTTCGATTTTCAATCATAAATATCTTACTAATCAGACAGGCGAGCGGCTTGTAAAAGTCATGGGGTTCCTGACTAACCTAAAGGTTTGTATTATCATTGCAGCATGAGCTAAATCCAGGATTTTGTTTCAGAATCTGAGATAAAATTACCCAATCCCTTTAAAGTATAAGGGCACCTCTCAGATTTAAATATGAGCAATTATCATTGGTGAAGGGGGCATTTTATCAGATGTGGTAAGGAGCACTTCTAAGAATGTGGAACGGGCAACTATTAGAAATTTAAAAAAATGGGCACTTATCTGAAGTAAAGGGGGACACTTTTCCAATGTACAAAAGGGCACTTTAGGGGTACTTGAAAAAATGGAGGCGCTGTGCTCCGGTCCGTCACCTCTGTCTCCAAGCTATAACAAAGTTTGGGCTGGTGCAACGAATGTGGATCAAAGCCATGTGCATGTGATATATGAGTCCAAAATTCTTCTGATAACTTGAAATCATGCAGTTTTGTGTTTATAATTATGTTTTCAAAGTTTTCACGCGGCATTCATGAATATGAATTTAAGAAAAATTGTTGTCATGTTACAGTAAAACTTAAAGGAGTAGCAATCTAAATACCACAATGATAGTAATATAAATAACAATGATTTAGAATATAACAACACATTAAAGCTACTATGTCCCATTTGCAGGCCAAAAAATGAAAAGGTTCAATTCCAACGACATTTGAAAGATAAAACTAATTTAGAACTTCCCTAAAAAAGGGGGACTTGAAAATGTCTTTAAGTGGGAAAATAACGACTATTAGTTGTCGAATCGACTTAAGAGCTATAGAGCCAGTAAGTAAAATTCTGATTTTTTTCAGACCATTGTACTGAATGATCGTACGTTTTATACTGCGCAGATTCAATCAGTTTAATTTTGACCATTACAAGAAGTGGGTTATTGATGTAGACAAATGCTCATGTACTCTTTACAGCTCATTTTATGTATGTTATTACCAAAGAAGAAAAAAGCCAGTGAGTCACTCAATAGTGTCTGACAGTGAAGTCTAGCAAGTAAACAGGTTTCCTTGCATAATTTGAATATTAGGACACTGCTAACGTTTAAATTTCACAGATAGGACATACATGACATATTCATAATTCCTGCAAAGTTCTACAGAATTTGATGTTGGCTGCAAAAGGGACATAGTATGTTTAAGTAAAGAAGCAAAAAAGGTAAATGAAACATGCAAAAGACATAGAATGTCAATTACTATAGTGCCTGTAAATAGTATGTATAATCTTACTTTGGCGACACCAGCAGCTGTAAAATTATTACAAAAATGTATTTATAGTCAGAATTATACAGTTAAATAACATATTTCTTGAACATCTTTTTTGTTTGACTTCATCGTGCTTCTTACTCTGCTGTATGTCTTTAACATAACTTTCCTTTATTTATTAACTTATTGATTTGTTTTTATTTGTTTAACTTATTTGTATACATATGTAAAATGAAATTGAGAATAATCCTGTGTATGCATGGTATATTTATATCTCTATCTATTAAACGAATGTTCATTAGCCAACTTGATCCTGCCAGCCCCCTCTGTCGGACCTTCTTAGCAAATGGGGAGGGTACGTGTGATGAATGAAAATTAGACTGAAAAATTATTGTTAGAAATAAATTTATGTTTATTGCAATCATGGGTTCCGTGTCAAAATTCACCGCTATTGGTCATCACAAGTCATATTCGACGGGGTGGCGTAGGAGTCCAGTCGGAAGGGATGGGGGGGGGGGGGGCTCTAAACGATTTCCCCCACATTTAATTTTTAAAATATTTATAGTGTAAATGCAATACAAACTTATGCTGTGTAGATGTCTTTGTTGTTCATGAATATCAATTTTGATAGTATGCTATGTTTTGCTAATGTATCGTTTTTTCATGTGAAATAAAAGAAACTAAACTAAAACTGAAGCTCAACGATTAAAGCTTGTGTCAGGTATTTGAAATGCAGTGGGTCACAGATTAGCTTGTGATTTATAGACATTTCTCTATCAAAATCATACATCATTTTAAGAATACTGGGCAGCCACCTAGGTTTTTATCTTATTTTATTTTGTCGAATGGCGTGAAGTTGGGGAATCAAAGGGGTGGCTAATAAAAATCCAACCGCTGCCATCATTGTAGCGAATTTAGGGAATCGGAGAGGGGGGGGGGGGTAATAGAAATTCCACCATTGTAGCGAAATCATCCCCATCGCTATATAATAGCAACAAATTGTATACGACTTCTTTCTTCTAAATCGATGAAGCCGATTGTGCTCTTTTGGGCTATTTCGGATAATCTCGCGAGAAAATAAAAATCAAGAAAATATAGAATAACAAATTATCTGGCGAGAGTCTAGTCACATAATATACTACACAAAATTGTAGACAAAAGATTTCATTTATGGTTGATTGTCAACGAAACGGAGTTAAGTCTTTTGTCAATTCTACTTGTTGCTACGGCAGGCTGCCAGTGAAAACGAATTCGTTTGATAAAATTATGGAAATGCAAGCACTACTTTAAACAAACAGAACTTTGTTATTCCTGGCTCATTTTTCATGATTGAGGTGTCATATGAAAGGGCAGAAATTGAACTTTCTAGAAATGTGATTTCCTTCTTGAAATTCAGATACCCCCCGCTAAATGACTTTTTGGTTTCCTCTCTTCAAATTGTTTTTAATCACTTATGTGTGAAATATGCATGATATGAGTTGCATCAAATGAAAGAGGAGGATCTAAGCTTTACAAATATGTGTTATTTATTTATTATAATTGTTATTAAGTTATAATAAAACATCGATAATTCTCGATTTCGTTTTTTCTGGGACGCACTGTATAAACCTTTACTTAATTCAAAAGTAATAATTTGTAACAAGGCATATAATATATTGTCATTTAAAAGTAATTGTTACTGCATAATGAACTAGGATCATCTATAACTCTGATATTCCCACAATTATAGCGAGGCTTATACTTCGAGCATGAATACCTAACGGCAATCAATTTTTTGCTAGTTATAAATAAGTCTATATTATGAAAGCAGTATATTACTGAAGACCATAACTATTCCGTTTCCCAATGAACCATCAAAATAAGTCAAAAAATAAGGTGAGCATTTAAAAAAAAACTTGACCGTACTGTCTTTTGTGAATCAACAGATTTCTTTTTGAAATGAAGAAGAAGATCATGTTGTCATGTCGACTTGACCTTTAAACTGTCTATTCTAGTGGTAAAGGATTTCCTGGGCAATATTGATTAACCCATGTTTTTAAATCCATGCTCCTAATTTTATGAGACAACTGGGATCAAGGCTCAAAACAAAATAAAATCATGGTATATTAAAAAAAACCTTCATTGTTCGGGTAACAAAAAATATATATGTTTGCTTTTATCAGCATAAGTCTAACTTTTCTAAGATAATAGAATAATCAAGAGTTTGTTATCAGTAAAACGAAATGTTTCAAAGTCTTTGTTTTTCAGACTAGACTCGACTGCAAATACGGGGATTTCCCGCTGAACTTTGGAGCCCATGCACATAATGTTTCCGTTACATTCGCTTTTCAC